TAAACATTAGGAGTTCGGAAAAATATATATATGTATATGTGGGAGCTATATTGAAATCTGAATCGATTGTTCCGAAACTTACCACACACCATTCTAAACTGAATTCAGTACGCTATGCCAAATTTCGTGGAAATGGAAGGATATATAGGGACTTTAATGCCCTATTAATCTTAAATCGGACGAAAATATATATGGGAGCTATATCTAAATCTGAACCGATTTTTCAGAAACTTAACACACATCACTCTAGACGTAATTTAGCACGCTATGGCAAATTTCGTGCAATTGGAAGTATGTAAAGGGGCTTTGGTGCACTATTTACCTAAAATCGGACGAAAATATATATGGGAGCTATATATAAATCTGAACCGATTTTCACGAAACTTAGCACACAATATTTTAGGCTTATTTCAATACCCTATCCCAAATTTTGTGCAAATCGAAATATATTTGGGGACTTTGGTGCACCATATACCTTAAATCGGACGAAAATGTATATGGGAGCTATATCTATATCTGAACCGATTTTTCCGAAAATTAACACACATCACTCTAGATGTAATTTAGCACGCTATGCCAATTTTCGAAAATCGAAGGATATATAGGGACTTTGGTGCACTATTTTCCCAAAATCGGACGAAAATATATATGGGAGCTATATCTAAATCTGAACCGATTTTCACGAAACTTAAGACACATCACTCTAGACTTCATTTAGTACGCTATGCCAAATGTCGTCGAAATCGAATGGTATTTAAGTATTTTAGTGCACCATTTACCTTAAATCGGACGAAAATATATATGGGAGCTTTATTTAAATCTGAACCGATTTTTCTCAATTTCAATAGGGTTCATTCTTGGGCCAAATAAATAAGCTATACCAAATTTCATTCAATTCGAATCATAAATTCGACCATTACTTTGTTTACAATTTAACATGGACAGACGGACGGACGGACGGACATGCATAAATCGACTTACAACGTGATTCTGTGCATATTCTCAAAATGAACCATGTGCCTATCTCGTTTCCTTTTGCCTGTTACAAACATATGCATAAAGAAATAATTACCTGTACCACAGTGTGGTGAAGGGTATAAAAATCCGTGGCTATTGGAGGACACTAAAAAATAATTTTATAAAATCCACACCTATTGAAGGTTACCAAAAGCGTACGCCTATGGAGGATTACTGAACAAATATTTTTAAAATATTCAAGCCTTTGGAGGTTTACTAAATTTGTTTTTTCCTGCTGGTATTGCCTCACTTTTTGGTTCCTAAGGGCCATATACCATGTTCAGCTCAAATGACTTCCCCTCTTTTCCGTTCCACAAAATAAGGAAGAACAATATCAAGTGTGGACCACAATCCATGGTTCCGTCGAGAAAAAAACCCAACTCTTCCTCCAAGTAACGAAAAACCCTCGAAGCCGCTACCAACAATATTGAAAAACAAATGTGGCAGGACATGGAACGACCACCATAATTAGTGACTCAATTAAAACCAGCCACAGAAGCGGCAGCGACAACAACAACAAAACCACCTCGTGTTTGTGGTATAACAAACATATTTTTTGTCGTATTTAATGTTGTGCATGGCTTGACAATGTTAAGAAGATTTGATGGAAACAAAAAGAACGGGGTGAGGAAGCAAATGGTGGGTTCTGGGGTGGTGGGTTAAGGGGCTTGAAAAAAAGTTCAACCACATGAAATTAAAAACAAAAGAAATAATTTTCTACATTCAAATGTTTATGTATGAGTGGATACTTTGGCATGTAATTGGGTTAATTTCCCATGTTGCCACCACCACACACACACAGTCATCATCGCCACCACCACCACTACAAATGTACTTGGAAATGCATATTTGCTTGCTGAGCAATGCATTCAAGCATACAAACAAAAGGCAAGCATGTTAAACACAAAACAAACTCTGAGGTCCTACTCACCAACTCATTCATTCACTGACTCAAACACACACATACACATGCACACACACACATAAACATTGAGAAATGCCCTGCTTCACTCTCCTTGATATGATCCCCAGCGGATACTCGACTGGGTGTGCTTATTGCCATTAGTTCAGTGGTACTCAGATGCAAACAACACACACACACACATACAAACACACATATGCATACAAGAGGTTCTTATTGCATTGTCTTGCAATGATTGCATGTGTGTGTGTGTGTCTGTGTGAGTGCCAGTTTGCATTGACGTTTTTTGCTGCTGATGGAGGGTAGGAAATGTTTGCATAAAATAGTTATGTTTTGGGGTTTTCATTCTTATGTTCTTTATATTTATGTTATGTATGTATGTACATATATATGTATGTGTTTATGAACATCCTCTTGTTTTCCCCCCATATCTCCCAGGAATTTATTTAATATTTTTGTCGTAGCATTGTTTCCGTTTCTTTTCCCCGGTTGTTTTTTTTTTATTTTCATTTCTCATTCACGCTTTTGGTTTCTTGTGATATTTTTGTGTGTGTGTGTTATTTTTTATATGTTTTCACAATTTTCCGGAATTCATTTGTTCTATTCTCTCTCCCACTTTCATTGTATTTTTCTCCTTCCTCTCTCTCTCTTTGCAGTGGCGTTCAGGCGTTAATGTACTTAAAAAGAATTCGGTACGCTTGGCTGAAGTCTGGTTGGATGATTATGCAAAATATTATTATCAACGGATAGGCAATGACAAAGGTGATTATGGTGATGTCACGTCGCGAAAAGAATTACGGTAAGTTTTTGTTATATTTTGTTTGTTTGTTTTTTTGTTTGTATTCTTTAGAGAATATTTTGATTATATCCAATTTTTTTGTTTGTATGAGATGAGGGATAAAGTTTTTAAATTATAAGTTTTATATTAAATGAAAATGATTTTGGGTTATAATGGAATTTCTCTAAGAGGAAGGCAAAATGTTCTCGAATACATTGTCCACGAAAATTAAGAATTTTTTCTAAAAGACCTAAACACAAATGTTTTATGGAATCATTTTTTTCTTCAGAAAATGTAATATTCAAAATAATCCTAAGGGGTTTGAATTTTTAAAGAAAAAACTCAACAGGATTTCCCAGAAAACTTAAGACTTATTTTCAAAAAAAAATCATAGAATCCTGATAAAGATTCGCCAATACTTAAGAAAAATGAGAATCCTAATTTATTTTTTATAGAAAAAAATTCTTTTTTCCTTATATAAACCAGTAAAGAAAGTAGTAAAGTCGGACGGGGCCGACTATATGATACCCTTCACCACTTTGGGTATATTCAACAGATGAATCCTAACAGACGTCACATTTTTAATGGACCAGTAAAATGAAATTGGATCCATAAACATGTCATTCTGCAACCTATACTAAATAGAAGCTATATCTAACTCTGAACCGATTTCAGAAAACATAAACCACCTAATTCATAACGATGTGCCAAATTTCGTGCAAACCGAAAGATATATAGGGACTTTAGTGGACCATTTACATAAAATCGGACGAAACTATATATAGAGCTATATTTAAATCTGAGCCGATTTACTCGAAACTTAACACACGTCATTCAAGACTCAATTCAGTACACTATGCAAAATTTCGTGTAAATCAAAAGACGTATAGAGACTTTGGTGCACCATTTACATAAAATAGGACGAAACCATATAAGAGCTATATCTTAATCTGAACCGATTTTCACGAAACTTAGCACACATTATTCTAGGCCTAATTTAATACACTGTGCGAAATTTCGTGCAAATAGAAATATATTTAGGGACTTTGGTGCATCATTTACCTTAAATCGGACAAAAATATATTCGGGAGCTATATCTAAATCTAAACAGATTTTCACGAAACTTAGCTCACATCATTCTTAATTCAGTACTCTATATGATATATAAGGACTGTGGTGCACCATTTACCTTAAATCGGACGAAAATATATGGGAGCTATATATAAATCTGAACCGATTTCCTCGAAACTTGGCACACGTCATTCTTGACCTAATTCAGTACTTTATGCCAAACTTCGTGCAAATCGAAAGATATATAGGGACTTTGGAGACCGATTTACCTTAAATCGGACGAAAATATATATGGGAGCTATATCTAAATCTGGACCGATGTTCACGAAACTTAGCACACATTATTCTGGACCTAATTCAGTACTCTATGCCAAGTTTCGTGCAAATCAAATGATATATAAGGACTTTGGTGCACCATTTACCTTAAATCGGACGAAAATATATATGGGAGCTATATATAAATCTGAACCGATTTTCTCGAAACTTAGCACACGTCATTCTTGACCTAATTCAGTACTTTATGCAAAATTTCGTATCAATCGAGAGATATAGAGGGACTTTGGTGCCCCATTTACCTTAAATCGGACGAAAATATATATGGGAGCTATATTTAAATCTGAAATTCAATAGGGTTCGTCCTTGGGCCAAATAAGTGACTTTTTCCAAATTCCATCCAAATCGGATCATAAATGCGACCTGTACTTTGTTCACAATTTAACATCTACAGACGGACGGACGGACATGCATAAATCGACTCAGAAAGTGATTCTATGCATATTCTCAAAAGGAACCATGTGTCTATCTCGTTTCCTTTTGCCTGTTACAAACATATGCACAAAGACATAATACCCTGCACCACAGTGTGGTGAAGGGTATAAATAGTCTAGAGTAATTCTTCGGAAGTGTTTGAGAAGGAAAGTACCAGTTTTAGAATATTGATGTGTCTCTGTAGTAAAAGAGGTCTGAGGACTAAAGTTAAAAAAATATAAAAAATTCTAGCCATGTCCTTCCGTCCGTCCCAAATGTTCGGTATTTTGGGGTTTAACCGAATTCGCTGAAATTTCTAACAGTGGGTACCAAATGTCTTCACTACAAATTATAAATATTGGTCCACTTTTTCTGATAGCCCCCATATAACGGTACCCCACAATATAGGTTATTTTGGAGGGTTTTATGCACGTTTATAAACCGAATTCGCTGAAATATGGTACAATGGGTTCTTCACTAAAAATTATAAATATGGGTCAATTTTTTGGGGTAGCCCTCATATAAGTTTTTCATCTGAATTCGCTGAAATTTGGTATATTGTAATCACATATGGTAACAAATCTTCTTACCAAAAATTACATTGTGCGACACGGAAATTATCCAGGGGTTATAAAGTACCAATTCTGTTTAATTGCAGTCCCTGGACCACGAAGAATACCTTTGTTTTTTCTGAGTAACTTCTAAAATTAATTTTATAACGGTAAATGTAGAGAAAAACGTGGTTTCATAGATTTTCAATTTGTTGTTTTGTAGCACAGTGTTATTAATATTCGCCCTCTTTTAATCCCCTTCTTATATTGAAATAGTTAGCTAATTAGTTCCGTGTGTAGAGGTTGTCCCATATAGGAGTATTCTACCATAGGGGATATTCGTTACTCGAAATAGTTCGTTTTACCCTTAAAAATTATGGAATTCTAAGACGATTTAGTCATCGGTTGTAATCATTCCGCTAAGGAAATCGTGATAAAAAAAAACTCGAACCTGACGATAATGAAATATATAGGACAGCATTTAGGCATCTCCCCTATAATTATATATAGGGGAGATGTAAAGAATTGAGACACAAAACAAAAATATTGGGTTCGAAATTGACATATGTCGACATTAATTAGGCATAGCCCCCATATAAATATAAACGCTAATTCCTACAGTATGTAATCTAAATTGGAGAAGATTGAGGATTGTATATTCTACCATGCGTTATCCACGCTTTGGGGTTTTCATTAAAAATTGCTGAAATTTGTATTTGGTGTACACAATGGTTTACATAAACCGGTTTGTAGAATTATCGGTATAAGTTCTCTTTTTGGTATGTTCCCTATATTTTCATTTCAAGTATTTGTCAGTATACCTATGGGTATCCATAGTAAAAATGTTGCTAAAACCTTAAACATACTTAAATGGGGTTCTAATCGAAAGCATATAATACCTAATAAGGCTATTGGGTAAATACCTTGGCGTATAATGTATGTCGATAATCATGCGCCCCATTGTACCACAAATATAATTGATTTCAATTGTTCTGTTGTAAAGTAGAATCATTGTAGACTATGAGTGTCGTTTATAAAAATATATTTAATTTTTATATATAAATCTCATTACAGAGAAATTTTTTTATATTTAGATTTCCATAAAAAAATATTATTTTTAATTTTTTTTTAACTTGGTATCCTTACCTTTTGCTTCTTCCCAAATTATAATAGTATTTTTTCAATACTATATCTATTTTAATTGACTATGAAATAATTCTTTCAACAAATCCAAGTTTCGTTCACATTTCAATGCTTTTATCATTTTTAATTTTTCCTAAAAAATTATAATAGGTACTTCCCAACAAATTTGAGGTGTTTGCTTTTGTCGAAATTGCATTATCGATAAATACAAAACATCTATTCTTCTTCGAAAATTCCCCTGCTGAATTTAATCATTTTTTGATTAGCAAATGTATAGCATACCTTTAGGTTACTGTTTAAATATCATACTTAAAGATGGGCAGTGGGTAAATACCCAAAGGGCAAATACCCGGAAAATTGGGTAAATACCCGGTAAATTGGGTAAATAGCCGGTAATTGGGTATTTATTTGGGTATTTACTATATTGAATAGGTAATACAACATCGTACACCCTCTTTCCGGGTTTCTGTTATCAAATCGATTTAGAATGGATAGTTTTACGATACTTTAATGAGGTGGGTAAATACTTGGGTAAATACCCGAGTTTTTACCAAAAAAATGGGTATAAACTCATTAGCTGCCGAACCACTTGACATGGGCGGCCAAAATTTTGCATTCAAGTTTTTAATGTCAAAGCAAATATAGAAATCCAAAACGGGGTCCTTGGGTTCAAGTTTTGATACAGCCCCCATATAACCGTATCTCCCAATTTAAGGTATTTTTTGTCTATTAGACACATTTTACGACCAAATTGGCTGCAATTTGGCACAGAGTGTTCTCTTTGGGTACCACATGCCCATGCAAAAAATTTTGAATGTAGGTCCACGTTTACTGGTAGCCCCCATACAAAGCTACCCCTATTTTGAGTATTTACCCAAAAATTGGGTATAAACTCATTAACTGCCGAACCACTTGACATGGGCGGTCAAAATTTGGCTCAGATGGTTTTTATATCAATACTAATACTGGTATGGGAAATGGGGTCCCTGGGTCCAAGCTTGGATATAGCCCCCATATAATCGTACCTCCCGATTTAAGGTACTTTTTGTCTATTAGACACATTTTACGATCAAATTGGTTATAATTTGGCATAGTGGTTATAATTTGCCCATCTCTACGTATAATTGCTGTCGACAATCATACGTCCCAAAGAACCAACAATATATTAATTTTTAATTTCTTGTTTTTTCATTTGAAGTAGAAGTAATTGATTATTTTGATAGGGTGTTTCATAAATTTATAATTAAATTGATCGGAAATAGTGTATTAAAATGTTATTCTATAGAAAAACAATTTTAGATTTCCATAAAAAATGCTTTTTGAGTAATTTACCATAAACTATTTTTCCTTTTAATTTTTTTCTTCATTTCTGATATTTTTCATTTATTTCATCTTCTTCGAATATCATAATTGTATTTATTTTGCCATACTAAATCCAGTTTAGTCTACTATGATATTTCTATTTCCGATTGCATAGCTTGCAAATTCTTTGGAATTCTTTTTTATTATTATTTGAAGAGTAACTCATAAATATCCATACTTTCATAATAAATATCCTGCATTCATTCCAAATACAAATACATACATTTTATGCAAGCATAGCAAAATTCTGAATATGTACTATTTGAATAGAAATTATGAAAGCCTTGGATTCTTAGATCCTTGCAGTATGCAGTGTTTAATAAACTACTACAGACATCTAGACAATTATACTGACTTCTATGCAACTTCTAAAAAAATATATTGGAAACTGTGTGTGGAAAATAGAAAACCTAGATGTAAGGGTATTGTTTATGGAAGGCATATCTTTCTATGTGCGGATAATGGGGTAGAGTGAATAAAATATAAGAAAGATTTTGGAACAAAATGTCTACATTCATGCTTCTCTAGAGGTTAGGGAGGCTGCATAGTTCCAGAAATTTTGTTTACTTTTTTTATTATGTATAATGGGGTGGAGTGAAATAAATGAAGACATTGTGAATAAAACTGGGGTATAATGGGGTGTAATAAATAAAAATGAAAAAAGATTTCGAAAAAATGCATACATTCATGCTCCTTCTAATTTTATTATTTTATTTTGTACAATGGGGTGGAGTGGAAAAATTTACGAAAATTAAAAAAAAATAGTATAAATTCATGCTCATCTATTTGTAATTATTTATTCTTAGTTTTTAATTTTTATACCCTTCACCACACTGTGGTACAGGGTATTATGTCTTGGTGCATATGTTTGTAACAGGCAAAAGGAAACGAGATAGACACATGGTTCCTTTTGAGAATATGCATAGAATCACTTTCTGAGTCGATTTATCCGGCATATCCGTCTGTTGGTGTTAAATTGTAAACAAAGTACAGGTCGCATTTATAATCCGATTTGGATGAAATTTGGTACAGCTCATTTGTTTGGCCCAAGGACGAACCATATTGAAATTGGGAAAAATCGGTTCAGGTTTAGATATAGCTCCCATATATATTTTCGTCCGATTTAAGGTAAATGGTGCACGAAAGTACCTATATATCTTTCGATTTGCACGAAATTTGGCATAGCATACTAAATTAAGTCTAGAAAGATGTGTGTTAAATTTCATAAAAATCGGATCAGTTTTAGATATAGCTACCATATATATTTTCGTCCGATTTAAGGTAAATGGTGCACCAAAGTACGTATTTGGCACAGCGTACGGAATTAAGTCTAGAGTGATGTGTGCTAAGTTTCATGAAAATCGGATCAGATTTAGATATAGCTCCCATATATATTTTCGTCCAATTTAAGGTAAATGGTGCACGAAAGTACCTATATATCTTTCGATTTGCACGAAATTTGGCATAGCGTACTAAACTAAGTCTAGAAAGATGTGTGTTAATTTTCATGAAAATCGGATCAGATTTAGATATAGCTCCCATATATAGTTTCGTCCGATTTTATAGAAATGGTGCACGAAAGTACCTATATATCTTTAGATTTGCACGAAATTTGGCATAGCATACTAAATTATGTCTAGAAAGATGTGTGCTAAGTTTCATGAAAATCGGTTCAGATCTAGATATAGATCCGATATGTAGATTCGTCCGATTTTATAGAAATGGTGCACGAAAGTACCTATATATCTTTCGATTTCCACGAAATTTGGCACAGCGTACGGACTTAAGTCTAGAGTGATGTGTGCTAAGTTTTATGAAAATCGGATCAGATTTAGATATAGCTCTCATATATAGTTTCGTCCGATTTTATAGAAATGGTTCACGAAAGTACCTATATATCTTTCTATTTGCACGAAATTTGACATAGCTTACTAAATTAAGTCTAGAATGATGTGTGCTAAGTTTCATGAAAATCGGATTAGATTTAGATATAGCTCCCATATATAATTTCGTCCGATTTAATTTAAATGCAGCACCAAAGTCCCTATATATATTTCGATTTGCACGAAATTTGGCATAGCGTACTAAATTAAGTCTAGAATGATGTGTGCTAAATTTCATGAAAATCGCTTCAAATTTAGATATAGCTCTCATATATAGTTTCGTCCGATTTAAAATAAATGGTGCACGAGGGCCACGCCTGAGGGCCTAAGGAGCCTAAATAAAATGTTCTTTAAAAATCCACGCCTGAGGGCCTAAGGAGCCTAAATAAAATGTTCTTTAAAAATCCACGCCTGAGGGCCTAAGGAGCCTAAAAAAAATGTTCTTTAAAAATCCACGCCTGAGGGCCTAAGGAGCCTAAATAAAATGTTCTTTAAAAATCCACGCCTGAGGGCCTAAGGAGCCTAAATAAAATGTTCTTTAAAAATCCACGCCTGAGGGCCTAAGGAGCCTAAATAAAATGTTCTTTAAAAATCCACGCCTGAGGGCCTAAGGAGCCTAAATAAAATGTTCTTTAAAAATCCACGCCTGAGGGCCTAAGGAGCCTAAATAAAATGTTCTTTAAAAATCCACGCCTGAGGGCCTAAGGAGCCTAAATAAAATGTTCTTTAAAAATCCACGCCTGAGGGCCTAAGGAGCCTAAATAAAATGTTCTTTAAAAATCTACACCTTATTTCCGGAGAGTCCTTAATACATTTTTCTTTAAAAATATACGTCTCATGTCCTCAGCGTTGCGGTTGCACCATCCTGTTATTAAATGTGCTATGTGTCTACGCAACTGTTTCTCCTCTGCTGCTTTGGATGGTGGATAATCTCGACTGCATCTGTATGAATGCTAGATTATTAAGATCTCTCCTGACGTACATGGGCGAATGAAGCCTGTCCCCAAGGTTATGGTAGGGCTGTTCCCAAAAATAACACCCAAGCTGATACTGCATCGACAGCATTTGAATGTGTCGATGGGCTGCAATGATCTTCGTCTCCTCATGAGGATACACCCTTTGCCTCCTAACGAGGATACACCAGTATACGAAATGCTGCTAGTCAACGACTTGAGGTCCTTGTTCCAATCTTTAAACTTATCGCTTGGCTTTCACGGACGACTTGAAAACCCTGTCGAACGTTACACCCAATGTGTTGGGTTAGTGATCGGAATCTGCTTTCCATGGACAATAATGTTCAGTGGGATCTTCATTTCAATCAATTGGTGAATTCAGATATAGATAATCGTAGCTTCCATAATTATTTTATAATCAATGGGTGTCTGATTGAGATTAAATTTTAAACAGTGCACCGACGTCTTTTCGGATACATATGTAGAATATACCCAAAGTGGTGAAGGGTATAATATAGTCGGCTCAGTCCGACTTTATTACTTTCCTCACTGGTTTTATTATTAGTTTCTTATTTTTTACTTTCATTTTCATACGTTCCACTCTAATATATAATCATCACAAAACTATAGCATACTTTTAGTTGCCTTGTTCGAAATACATGTCTTGCATTTTGTGTGTGCATCATCATCATATTTATACCTGTCTCTCTTTATCTTTTTTTTTTTTCAGAGAACGTTTGGGTTGCAAAAGTTTTAAATGGTATCTGGACAATGTCTATCCAGAACTTTTCATACCCGGTGAATCGGTAGCCTATGGCGAGGTAAGTTAATTAACAAAAAAACAAAACTTGTGATTTTGTTTCAAAATGCTAAAAACTTGCTGCTTGCCAAAAAAAGAAGAAGAAAAGCTAAATACTAAAATGACCCGCCTGCCTTTTGAAAAAAAAGAAAACTCAAACTAACCCCTTCTTGACCCCGTAAAAATATTAAACTAACACAATTATAAATAAAAAAGAAAAATTTACAAACCAGAAACACATACTCAAAACCCTCTGACAACTTATGGGTCAGAATGTCATGTGAATTGGTTTGATTAGCATTTTCAAAAGGCTTTTTTTTTAAAAACTAACAAATTTTGCTAACATTAACCCCCCAAATTTAACCTTTTTTAACAAAATTCCATTTAAAATTTATTTTAAAATATTAACTTTTATTTTATTATCCCCAACACAAAACAACAACAAAAATTCATCTACAAACAAATACCCTCACAGATAAGAAATTTAGGTGCTGGCGGTCGCACATGTTTGGATTCACCGGCACGCAAAAAGGATTTGAAGAAGCCCGTTGGCTTGTATCCCTGTCACAATCAAGGAGGAAATCAGGTTTGTTAACAACGACCACACACGAACAAAATCAGCGACCGCCACAAGCTCCGTTCAAAATAAGAAACAACAAAAACAAAAAAAAAAATTGTCCAAAAAACCAACCACAAAAATCCGCATTTGAATTTTTCTCTCTAAACAAATTCCAACACAAGCCACAACAAAAAATAATAACAAACAACAATAAAAACGAATCTAATGGTTATGGGTTGCATATATATGGTGTCGTTACTTTTTCCACTGTCCCTGCCCTGCCCTGCTCGACCCCAGTCCCTCCAAAAAAACAGAAATTTTGCCTAAACGCATGTTCCTGATGCCTTTGCTTTACTCTATATTTTTTATTATTATTTTCTCTTTCTCTCAAGATTTAAGTGGTATTAGATATGGAATCTGAAATATGATTTAAAAAATAATAATTAAAAATTAAAGCATACTTCTGGGCTACAAAAATAAAATTAATTTATTTTTTCTATCAGAAAAAAATAGTAAACTGTCTCTACGGGGAACTAGGAAAACCTGGGGACGTATGATTGGCGTCACCATGTATACGCCAAGGGGTTCACTAAGGAAAAATTCATTTTTTTTCTATAGAAAAATAACAAGTTTTTCCTGCTGGTCAAGAGAAACATTTTTCTTAGTGAACCCCTTGGCGTATACATGGTGACGCTAATCATACGTCCCCATGTACACCTACTTTACAATCTAGTTATTATTTTGAAAATTAAAAAAAAATAAAGCATACTTTTGGACTACAAAAATAAAATTAATTTATTTTTTCTATCAGAAAAAAATAGTAAACTGTCTCTACGAGGAACTAGGAAAACCTATTGATTTTTTTCCATAGAAAAATAACAAGTTCCTGCTGGACAAGAGAAACATTTTTCTTAGTGAACCCCTTGGCGTATACATGGTGACGCCAATCATACGTCCCCATGTGCACCTAAATAAAAATCTAGTTATTAATTTAAACTAAAAGCAAAAAAATAAATTATGATTTGATTTCTCTAAACTCCACATCTAATACCACTTAAATCCAATTTTTTTATAGCCATTGAAATCTTCTAGTTCAATAAAAAGAAATATTGTTTTTTTTATAACAACCATCCTACCAAACAAATCAATTACAGATTGCCAATATCGAAACTGATATGTGTCTCGATTCAGCCGCCAAACCGGACGACATGCAAGGTGCCGTTGATCCTTATAAATGTCACGGTCAGGGTGGAAATCAGGTACTGTTTCTTTTTGTTATTTATATATTTTCAGTTTTGAATTAATTTGCAAAATTTTGGATATTGGGCTATTAAAAACAACAACAAAACATAAACAATAATTCTTCACTTTATTAATTTCTTTTCATTTTAAATAAAATTGCTTTATGGTTGATTTTCTTTAATTATAGTTTTGATAATTTTGGGTTTAATGGTAACCTGATAACACCACCTCCACGAAATAAAAATAAACAAAAACATTTATTTGGCTTTGGAAAATACAACATAAAAATGTTGGCTTTGGAATAACAAAAAACTCATATCACTGGCATCAAATTTTAGATTCTTATTTTATTAGAAATTCATTTCTAACATTTACTTAACAACATTTTCTTTTTTTGGGTATGGAGAAATGCCATATATAAAAAGATATACTGCTCTGCAGTTTAGTTAATACATTTTAGCTTGTCATAAATCATTGCTTGTATCTCCTTTTGGGAAGTTTCTTAGCTCAAATATCATTTTTTTAATAGTATACTTTAGGGGATTTGTGTATAATCGAGAATATCGAATATGAATGTCTTACGGCAAGTTTCGGATGTTTTTTTGTTTCTCTTTCACTTGGACAAGAATTAAACTTGCTTACAGAAAAAAAATATTAGTTATAGCATATTATAAACCGAATAAAAATCAAATATACATATATTGACGTATACATTATAACGTTAATGATACGCCCCAATGTGCTGTGAGAACGAAATAAAGGTCCGATCAAAAAAATGTTTTTTCCCAGATAAAGACCTCAGAAATATATCAATTTTAAGACATCAGGCAACATGCGTTTATATGGCATTTCTCCATACCCAAAAAAAGAAAGGGCGGGGACATGTTAGGAAAAAGTAACGACACCGTGATTTTTTTCCATTGTTGTTTGTTATTATTTTTTGTGGTGTGGCTTGTGTTGAAAATCAACCATAAAGCAATTTTATTTAAAATGAAAAATTCAAAATTTTGTTTATGTTTTGTTGTTGTTTTTAATAGCCCAATATCCAAAATTTTTTTTTGTTATATAAATAACAAAAAGAAACAGTATTTCTAGGCGTACAAGTTTGGCGGTCGCTGATTTTTTGTTAGATTAACAAACCTGATTTCCTCCTATAAAAAAATTGGATTTAAGTGGTATTAGATGTGGAGTTTGACAAGCCAACGGGCTTCTTCAAATTAATAACTTTTTATTTTAGCGTGCCATGTAAATGCAAACATGCGCCCCCAGCACCTAAATTTCTTTATATCGGGTACTTGTTATTTTTCTATGGAAAAAAATCAATTTTTGTTGTTGTTTTGTGTTGGGGATAATAAAATAAATTAATATTTTAAAATAAATTTTAAATGGATTTTTTTTAAATTTAGAAATAATAACTTTGTCCATGATTAGCGTCACCATTTAAAAAAAAAAGCTTTTGAAAAAAAATGCTAGATCAAACCTTGGCGTATACATGAAAAAAAAAAAAATTTTTCATATTTTATATCTAATAACTTAAATCTTGAGAATAAAAAATATAGAGTAAAGCAAAGGCATCAGGAACATGCGTAGGCAAAATTTGAGTTTTTTTGGAGGGAAGGCGGGACGGTAAAAAGTAACGACACCGTTTAGATTTATTGTTTGTTATTATTTTTTGTTGGCAAGGCAAACACACAAAATGTTTTTGTTGTTTTTTCTTATTTTGAACGGAGTTGGGCGTGGAGACATTGTTCGTGATGGTCGTTGTTAACAAACCTGATTTCCTCCTTGATTGTAACAACGGGCTTCTTTGCAACCCAAACGTCTTTAGAAAAAAAAAAAGATGAATTTTTGTTGTTGTTTTGTGTTGGGGATACACAAAATGCTATAGTTTTGTGATGATTATATATTTTGGGGGGAACGTTAGCAAAATTTGTTAAAATGAAAGTAAAAAATAAGAAACTAATAATAAAACCAGTGAGGAAAGTAATAAATATTTTTACGGGGTGTACTGAGTTTTCTTTTTCAAAAGGCACTATATTTTATACCCTTCACCACTTTGGGTATATTCTACATATGTATCCGAAAATTAACGTCGGTGCACTGTTTAAAATTTAATCTCAATCAGACGCCCATTGATTATAAAATAATTATGGAAGCTACGAGAGACAGGTATATCTATATCTGAATTCACCAATTGATTGAAATGAAGATCCCACTGAACATTATTGTCCATGGAAAGCAGGATTCTAATAAAAAGTAACCCAAACGTTGAAGTCAGGTGTAACCCTTCGACAGGGTTTTCATAGTCGTCCGTCGGTGCAAAATTTTAAGCGATAAGTTTAAAGATTGGAACAAGGACCTCAAGTTGAAATGAAGATGACTAGCGGAAGACATTTCGTATACTGGTGTAACGTAACCTCGTTAGGAGGCAAAGGGTGTATCCTCATGAGGAGACGAAGATTGTTGAGCCCATCGACACATTCAAATGCTGTCGATGCTTGGGGTGTTATTTTTGGGAACAGCCTTACCATAACCTTCAGGACAGGCTTCATTGGCCCATGCTACCAGGAGAGATCTTAATAATCTAGCATTCATACAGATGCAGTCGAGATTATCCACCATCCAAAGCGGCGGAGAAACAGTTGCGTAGACACATAGCACATTTAATAACAGGATGGTGCAAGTTCGCAACGCTGAGGACATGAGACATATATTTTAAAGAAAAATGTATTAAGGACTCTCCGGAAATAAGGTGTAGATTTTAAAGAACATTTATTAGGCTCCTTAGGCCCTCAGCGTGGATTTTTAAAGAACATTTTATTTAGGCTCCTTAGGCCCTCAGGCATAAATTTAAAGAACATTTTATTTAGGCTCCTTAGGCCCTCAGGCATAGAATTTAAAGAACATTTTATTTAGGCTCCTTAGGCCCTCAGGCGTGGATTTTTAAAGAACATTTTATTTAGGCTCCTTAGGCCCTCAGGCGTGGATTTTTAAAGAACATTTTATTTAGGCTCCTTAGGCCCTCAGGCGTGGATTTTTAAAGAACATTTTTTTTAGGCTCCTTAGGCCCTCAGGCGTGGATTTTTAAAGAACATTTTATTTAGGCTCCTTAGGCCCTCAGGCGTGGATTTTTAAAGAACATTTTATTTAGGCTCCTTAGGCCCTCAGGCGTGGCCCTCGTGCACCATTTATTTTAAATCGGACGAAACTATATATGAGAGCTATATCTAAATTTGAAGCGATTTTCATGAAATTTAGCACACATCATTCTGAGCTTAATTTAGTACGCTATGCCAAATTTCGTGCAAATCGAAAGATATATAGGGACATTGGTGCACCATTTACATGAAATCCGACGAAACTATATATGGGAGCTATATCTAAATCTTAATCGATTTTCACGAAACTTAGCGCACATCATTCTAGACCTTATGCATTACGCTGTGCCAAATTTCGTGCAAATAGAAAGATATATAGGGACATTGGTGCACCATTTGCTTGAAATTGGACAAAACTATATATGAGAGCTATATCTAAAAATCTAAAATACGATTTTCATAAAACTTCACACACATCACTCTAGACTTAAGTCCGTACGCTGTGCCAAATTTCGTGGAAATCAAAAGATATATCGGTACTTTCGTGCACCATTTCTATAAAATCGGACGAAAATATACATATCGGATCTATATCTAAATCTGAACCGACTTTCATGAAACTTAACACAAATCGTTCTAGACATAATTTAGTATGATATGCCAAATTTCGTGCAAATCGAAAGATATATCGGTACTTTTGCGTGCATTATTTACCTTAATTCGGACGAAAATATATATGGGAGCTATATCTAAATCTGATCCGATTTTCATGAAAATTACACACATCTTTCTAGACTTAATTTAGTACGCTATGCCAAATTTCGTGTAAATCGAAGGATATATAGGTACTTTCGTGCACCGTATACCTTACATCGGAAGAAAATATACATGGGAGCAATATCGAAATCTGAACCGATTTTCACGAAACTTAACACACATCATTCTAGACTTAATTCCCTACGCTTTTGCCAAATCGAAAAGTATAGGTTTGGTGCACCATTTACCTTAAATCGGACGAAAAATATATATGGTAGCTATATCTAAAACTAATCCGATTTTTTATGAAATTTAACACACATCTTTCTAGACTTAATTTAGTATGCTATGCCAAATTTCGTGCAAATCGAAAGATATATGTAGGTACTTTCGTGCACCATTTACCTTAAATCGGACAAAATATATATCGGAGCTATATCTAAACCTGAACCGATTTTCCAATTTCAATATGGTTCAGTCCTTGGCCAAAGCAAAATGAGCTGTACCAAATTTCATCCAAATCGGATTATGAATGCAAACCTGTACTTTGTTTACAATTTAACACCAACAACAGGAATTATGCCGGATAAATCAACTGAGAAAGTGATTCTATGCATATTTTCAAAAGGAACCATGTGTCTATCTCGTTTCCTTTTGCCTGTTACAAACATCTGCACCAAGACATAATACCCTGTACCACAGTGTGGTGAAGGATATAAAAATTAAAAACCAAGTAAATAATTACAAATAGATGAGCATATTATATCTTTTTAATTTTCGTAAATTTTCCACTCCACCCCCATTGTACAAAATAAAATAATAAAATTAGAAGGAGGCATGAATGTATGCATTTTTTGAAATACTTCATTTTTATTTATTACA